GGGACCGGAAACACTTCTTTCTGGGCGTTGCACACGCCCACTCTTCCCACAAATCTAATATACCCCAATACTGATTTTGTGTATCAGGTAAAACAAAGACACCAAGACCGGTTCGACCACAAAACAACTTAGGTGTCCTTAGGAGGGATGAACGCGGTCCTTTTCTTAGCGCTGGTTGGAACCTACAACTCTGACTCCACATTTACAAAATTAAAAATTACAATTTAGCGTTTATTGTTCAATACTGTTTCTGTGTTTTTGTTAGAGTTTGTTCACGGCCACGGGAACTTAGACTAAGGTGTTAGGCGCTTCGCCGATGAAGGCCGACTGTCTTGAAGAGTACTGAGTCGAAGCTGTGGATTATAAGAAGTAAGAACGTTACCTATGTGTGTGCGCGATAATAGAAAGCTTAAGAGATACTTTCTTGATGTTACTTAAGAGCTCTACTCCCCCCCGTTGAAAGACCAGGCTATCCTCAACTGGAAGGACGCACAGCTTGTTGACAGCTAGAGTGATGACCTTGATTACCCGCGCTAAGGGCCACATCAACGGCGGCAAGTTTGACCTCGTTGGATCGAGGATTGTGGTGTGCAACGTGGGCACGTTGTCGAAAAGCAGAGTCAGGTACTCCTCACTCCAACGTTTCTAAAAAATCTGCTAGGCACAGGCGACTCGCTGCCAGCGATCGAGTCGATTGAAGTTGAGACCCGTAACGTTTGGCTCAGGAAACTCCATCAGCGGACGATAAATTAAAAAATGTCCGGGTATAAGGACGCCAAGATCTTCCAGGTTTTCTGAAATCGAGATAAGGGGATGAGAATTCATTACAACCTGGATTTGGCACACCAATGTCCGCAGAGCATCGAATCAAAAAAGTGACGATCCCAACGTGCGATACAAATTATGTTTGACCGCCTTCACCGCTGCCTCCCACAAACCGCCGAAATGCGGCGAGCGAGACACAGTTTTCATGCCACCGATGGGCAAAAACTTTAAGCGAATCGCTCCAAGTAGCGACTGTCGACCAGCATGGTGATGATTCCGTTGAAAGTGCGTAATGATGGCGAGCGTTAATAGATAATGCCTGTGCAAAATGATTGGGTGGCGTGAATCGAAGTGAGTGCCGCAGGCGGCCACCAACACGAACTAGACCAAAGTCATCTATGAAAGGCGAGAGCAAGATGATTCTGCTGGGAGCCTCGACGCAGTTCACTTTCCGCACAGCAATGTACTTATGTGCCCGTTGAACGATGCGACATAATAATCCTTTGCTAAGGTACTCAGACGAGAGATCCGGTGACATCGTCCTACTGATGACTTTCTGAACGTAACCAAAAATGCGCATCATGACTCCAAATGAGTTGTGCTAACGAAAGTGTATGAAAACGGATGAGTGTGTGAAATAGCTTGGCTTGAATGGTGAGGAATAGACATAAGCAGATCATTTAACGAAAGACCAGATGTGGTAGCCGCAGAGCCGTCGAATACGACCCTCAGATTTGTTGTGGAGCTGTTCTCTTTGATGACGCAATGATGTAGCAAGAAATATTTGCACTTGTGCCCATCTTCCTGGGGCACCAGAGACATATTCCGCGTATTCCCCTGAGGGTAAGCGAGCGTTGGCGATGGTTGACGAAGTATTCCTCGCAGTGAAGTTCCTCCTTTGTTGCCCTAGCGATTGGCTCAAAGATGTCCTTCACTTCCCAAAATTGACGAACCAATCCTTACACACCTTTCTATTAATTAATAACTGTAGTGGTATTTTTATTTTGATTGCATGCTTAGTTTCTTAGTAAGTTTAGTGGTAATTTTCCTCGAATGTTAGTCTAATAGCTATCTTTCTTGCATGTTTGCGTTTGGTTCGGCTACGCACCGTGCGTCATGCGGCAGCGCCCCTAAAATCCGCGATTTCAGAACGAGATCCACCGAGATATCTTCAGTTAAGAAGGTAGCATCTCCTATGCCAGAGACAGCAGTAAGCGATTTAGTTTTACGCAGTTGAAGCTGATTAGCTATACGAGTAGTTACGAAATGCAATTGCGAGTCCGAGTCCAACAATGCGCGACATGGTATGAAAGTTCCAGCGCTGTTTTTGACGAGAACGACGACGGTGGCTAATAGAACAGGCTCAAACGGACGCTAGAATATATAAACTAGCGGCGAGGAGGGCGACAATGCAACCATGGCGGTATGATTTGGCTGTGGCTCGATTGAAGAAACAGTATGGAATGTCTCTGTTAGACGAAGAAAATGCAGAAGAGTGTGGTGCTTCGATTGACAAGTACAGCACGGACCTGATTTACAATCTTTCACGTGATGACCCTTTCGTAGGCAATTGACGCATAACAAGACCCTCTTTGTGTAATTGTGACGATCATTCGATAGATTTTTCCACCGTTGACAACTGGCGATCATATGGTTCGTGCCTTCACAGAACACACTGGAAACATGAGCGCATGATGCTACAAACGATTTTCATGATGCGTACTCGCGGTTTTCCCTGACCCGGTTGCCAACCTGACCATGTTGCCCTTGCATGGAGTGGTGAATGCCTACGACATCTTTGTTCCAGAAAGGCAGATATTTCTCCCAGGATGGAAGATTTTGATTCGACGACGCTGCTTCCTATTTAACTTGAGGAAGCAAGTGGACGATGATGCAATCAGCTATTTCCTCCTTAGTTGCCAGCGCTTCCAACGCGTGAAGATGTGAGGTGGCGGCGTCCGTAAGCGCCCGCAGCTGAACAACAGATGAGTCCCCACTCGCCAGCCCAAATATTTCTCTAATGTGTGCCTGTAGAATGAGACGTTTATTAGCCAATCGTTTTTTGAGAATATCTAATTGCAATTATTGTAATTAGCCTCGCTCATCTTCAACGAACTAATGGTGTCCAACGCCGCTCCGCTCAAACAAGACTGCAAATGCTATAATTTCTCGATAGAAGTCAGTTCAGCTTCACTATCAATAACAGCTGTGGACATGGCATAGAATATAGGTCCACTCTGTATAGTCTCCGCTGAACTTGGGCAGCTGCAGCTGTGGCAAGCGCAATCGACTGGCTATGTACATAATGGATTGGGATTCACTTGGGTTCATTTGAAACGTGGAACAATGCGTGGCTTGCGAACTCTGGCCCAACTCACGCTGAAGAATGGTCCTCAAAGATAAGATGGACGAGTCCAATTTTCCAGGTGGTGTGGCCACAATAAAATTCATTTAAGCTTCGTCAATGATTTTAACAATCCTCGCAGATCATCCATTTCGCGTAGCTTTTCACGATCCATCTCTGTTCGTATGGACTCTAGCCTGTCCAAAATGGCTCTAGCCCTTAGCCTCCTGAAGGAAATCCAAGATGCAAGGAATTGGGTGCTGGCTGCGTTAGCACTAAACCTTTCATCAGATAGAGCATCGCCAACTTTCACAGTATTACTGTCATTGCGCATAGCCACCGATTCACTCCTTCTATTATTTTTTTTCTTGCCCATGGTTTCGGCTATAGTCTGTTAACGCGGAGTGTATAAGTCGATCAGAGTTAAATAAAATGATGCAACGCGCTAGTTCAAACGAGTTCAAAACTTGTTGGCGTTCACTTTTGCTGCACTTTTTATGTATTTATGTCCATAACGTATGCGCGCCAAAGCAACGAAGCGACGACCGAAAAGAACCAACAGTTATGCACAAGCGAACGAGTTCAAGTTGTGCAGACGGTCAAGAGAGCTGACTGAAGCAAACGACGAAAGAGGAGGCGAAGAAAACTATCGGACCACGCTTAGATCTCTATGCGACGAAAGAGAAGCGAAAACGAAATGTTAAGTTCACAATGTTCGTCCTTTGCGTGGGCGGAAGGGGGTGTGGCGAAATTTTGACACAAAACGGTCAAGGTCCGATATCAAAGGAGTGTGGATACCGAATTTGGTTGCTCTAGCTTTTATAGTCTCTGAGATCCTTGAACTCATATTTTGCAATAGGCAAAGCCGACCATGAAACCTGTGTGTTAGAGAGAGACACAGCGAGAGAGAATGAAATTGTTTTCTTGATTCTGTCTTTTATACGATTATACGATCTGGTTCTGATTTTGCATTCTAGAAGATCTAGTCATCCATTACGATTCAGCGTTTTCAGTTTTCCTGTATCTTTGAAATTGTGGATGCCACAGATTTTTGCCCTATGTGGTGGTGAAGTGGACGAGGCAAAGTTTTGAAATATACTTGTAACAGTGACAAGTATTTCTCTAGCTCCTGTAGTCTTTGAGCACTAGGCGCTGATAGGGACGGACAGACGGACGGACGGACGGACAGACGGAGAGACAGACAGGGCTCAATCGACTCGGCTATTGATGCTGATCAAGAATATATATACTTTATGGGGTCGGAAACGTTCTGGACGTTACACACAGCCACTTTTACCACAAATCTAATATACCCCAATACTCATTTTGAGTATCGGGTATAATTACACCGTTGTTAAGGTTACAATTTGGATTTTATTGTCCGATATTGTTTGTGTGTTTTTGTTAGAGGCCGTGGCCGTGAACTTAGACTTTGGTGTTAGGCGCTTCGACGATGAAGACCGACTGTCTTGAAGAGTACTGACCTATTACCTTAAATAGTACTGACCGACTGTCTGACCGAAGCGTCGAAGCAGTGGATTATAAGAAGTAAGAACGTTACATATGTGTGTGCGTGTATGCACTGAGAGCGTACATGGGATGAACGCGATAATAGATATTAAGAGATATGTTCTTGACGTTACTTAAGGGCTATTCACGGCTGCTGCTCCGAACACGGTCATTACGTTTTTGTAATTTTTATATTTTTAACTTTTAATCACGTTATAGTTTTCTACATGTTGTGCATAAGTTTTGAAAATAAAACAGGTCGAATTTAAAACTCATCTGCCTAAGCCTTTACGACGGCTATGGGCTCCGTTTTCCGATCGCTCAAACTGAATTAAGAAAATATTTTGATGTCTTGTGATATTTACAAATTTGTTTATTCCAGAATCAATAAATGCCAAAATGAACAAAAACACGTCGACTCTGGAGGACGCATAAGCACTATCTCGAAGGTTCCATATACCCATTCGGATAACGTAGTGCCATATTGGCCTATGTGTATCCCCAAGAGTGGCGTCCGGGCTAATCTAGCCTAAATATTGAGCATGAAAAAAATTGAATCTCTATGAATGTCCTAAAATGTATCAGGGCGTATTGATAGCGCCTCATATTTGGAATAGGAAAATTTACTTACCTTAGCTGGAAAATGGGAGCCAGTACTTCCAGTATTAACTATCCTAACGTCGCATCATCAGGAGCTGCACTTAATAGTACCGGAAACTCTAATGGAAACATATCGGTGCTGCTGCCCATGAGCATGGCAGGTATGGTCACAGCAGGAGCGGTTGGTATGACGACTGGCAGTGGTACTGGTATCAGTGGCGCACAGTACCATCGAGATCAAAGACGAAAGCGTGTAACTGGTTTTGCGACGCTTAAGAGAAAGTTTATACGTAGACGACGTTCGTCAAAAGCATATGATCACGCTCGCGTTCTACGAGATTTTGTGTCAGACTGGGCACCTATGGAGCTGGCAGCTCTGTGCGAGGAGTTCGAAGCCTTGTCGGCTTTAAGAGACTTATCGGTTAGAATGAAAACATTTATTGTTTGTCTATTAGTTTTTTAAACATCATATATTTATAGGTGCAAGCTGAATTGGCGCGACCTCCGGCAGCAACATACAAACAAGACCTTGCTGCTCTTTACGATCTAAATTTTTGCACTGATTGTGATCTTGTTTTTCGCGGGACTATTTTCCCGGTGCACAGATCAATATTATCAGCTCGTTGCTCCTATTTCCGCGACTTACTCGCAGGTTGTCCTGGTTTCGGAGCGCGTATATGTCTTGAACTGCCCACTTCGCCTATTGACGTGCCGCTTTTCTCTTCCCTATTGCGTTATTTATATACTGGCGATATGTGTCCGCATGATCCGAACATCGAAATCACAGTGTTGCGTCAGCTGGGAGACGACTTTGGCTCACCAAATCCTCTGGATCATGATCTTCGCTATTTGTTGGAGACTGGCGACTACGCAGATGCGGCACTTGTTTTCACAGCAGATGGTAACAACGACAATCTGCGACAAGACTCGGGTACCTCGGAGTACGGGTTTCGACCAAAGATCGAACTTCCATGCCATAAAGCTATTTTGAGTGCGCGCTCACCCTTTTTTCGTAATTTAATTGCGCGTCGAACGCGCAACATTGATGAGTACGTTGAACGTTCCTTACACGTGCCCACGCGAATTGTATTAGACGAAAGCGTTATACCGAAGAGATATGCGCGTGTACTGTTGCAAGCGATTTACCTGGACGTTGTTGATTTGACACTGATCTTACGCGGTGTTGGATCGGGTACGTCGGCAGGATCACTAGGGGAAGTGCATGCCTTAACCAACACAGGAAGAGTTCGTCCAACGACACTGGAGGAAGCTATGGAGCTTTACCAGATTGGTCGGTTTTTAGAGCTTGATATTTTGGCGCAAGGCTGTGAGGATTTAATACTCGAGTGGCTGTCCCTTGATACTTTACCAACAATTTTAAAGTGGGGTTGCCAACCCCATGGCTCCGCGTGGGTGTTTAGACAAGCATGTCAGTACCTACGAGAAGAATTTACCGTTATTAGCACCTCACCTGTCCTGCACCAACTAGATAAAAAGCAACTGTTACATGTTCTGCAGAGTAATTTTTTACAAGCTTCTGAGCTAGAGATTCTGCAGGCTGTTCTTAAATGGGGAGAACAGGAGCTCATTCGCCGTATGGAAGATCGTGAACCAAACTTGTTGTCACACACAGCTCACTCAGTTGCTCGCAAGGGCGTAAAAAAACGTGATTTGAGTGATGTAGAGCTGCGAGACATCATCGCAGAATTATTGCCTTTAGTGCGCATAGACCATGTTTTACCACCACATAGTGAGATACTCGGCCAAGCAATTCGTCGAGGTCTTGTCAGCACGCCACCTTCACATATGATTGGAGATGAACGAGAAAATTTACGTATCAATGCCTGGATACGTAGTGGTAGTAATCAGGGACTCTTTGTAAGACCACGTCTCTTTATGCCGTATTTTGAGGAAGTAAAGGCCTTGTTGAAGGATCGATTATCTTCATCTCACCACCAGGTGGAACTAATGCGTATGCGTAGGTCACGACACCCGCCAGATATTCCTGATACCTTGTATATGGTGTCCCACATGAATGCAGCGGCTAATAATGGACTTTGTAGTGTTGTTAATCGTGCTATTCATGAAAATATTGACATGATGGTAGGGTCGGCTGTTATACCAGCACCGGATAACCAAACTTTATTGGCAATGCGTAAACGCGAAAATAAACTTCGCCAGTCACCTATGTGCCAGCGTGCATTGCTACTGCCACTTTCATCAAAACATGAAATTGAACGACAAATTCGGCTTCGGGTCGTGAGAGAGTTTAACCTCCCTGATGAAGTATCTGATATTCTGGAAAGCTCACACCAATCCAGCCAGAAAAGTGATGATGTTCACAAAGAAAATCCGTGTGGAGTTGCGTCCACTACTCAAAGCGAGGACAATTTGCTTGAAGATGAAGATCAAAGCCCACCGCCATCACCAGCGGCTACTGGCTCAGTTCCGCGAAACACAACCGTTGGATCTTCTTTTTTATCGTCCTCGTCAATGGGATCGTCAGCATCATCAATCTGTGGCACCGATGGAGTACACCCCTATTATAGCCGAAATCTCACTTTTCCGCGTCACCAATCAAATGGTCTTTTTGGTGTAGCCAGTATTTTATCAACCAACTCTGGTCCTGCGCTTCAGTGTAGCTATGCACGTATTTCAGCGTCAGCGCGTCCACGAAATGAACTGCCGGCGTTAATAACTGAAGGGGACTTTCGATTTCCGCATGGAAATAGCTTGGGCTTGGATATTAGTGTTGAGAACGGCGCATGTGCTTTGGACTCTGGAAATAGTCATCTTTCAGATATGATGCCGGATGTGGCTATGGCCACCGCATCGTTAGGTCAGCTTCATTTGTCGAATAGTACTGGAAATACTAGCGGCCGTAGCGTCGGCAGCAATAACGACATGCCAGAAAGTTTACAATTAGATTTGGGGGATGGTCCAAGCCCTCGCGTAGTTGGAAACGTTCCAAGTGCACTGACCTTGCGAAGTATACACGTAAGTATTTCCTTTTCGGTATTTATCCTAAAATAAAAATTTTCCATTAATTTTAGCACGCTCTGCCACAAAGCAACTATCACCGCTTCGTGCAGCGCTCTAGTTCGCCATTTGATATGATGCGTCATGGACAGTTATCGCCCACATCACACCCTCCAAATCCTGGGTCATTTAACTCTGGACCACCCAGGTTTTTATAGAGGTTGCAAGTGGGCACAGATCCGGGGCACGTTATTTTGGCATGCCTTTCTGAACAAAAATTAAACTAAAAATGTAATTTAACAATCTAGATAAATAAAATAAACTATTAAATAAAGCTTACGGAATTTTTCTCTTCGGCAAGGGCTTTAAATTAGATAGTATGTATAATGCTAAAAATACTTAAGTATGTATATTATCTCTGGTATTTGCGAAGAAAAAACCAGTTTAAGTAATTTGTTTATTACATCTGCAACCCTTTTGCACCTTTGTTACTCGTTGACCCTAGTAGTTGGCAGATTACAACACACAATAAATTGACCTTCCTTGCCGAATCCAACCCATCATAAACTTAAGTCGTCGAATGCTTTACCCGTTTAATCTGTCGAAATGTACAAATTAACTAGACTGAAGATACCTCTTGGTCATATGGTCATATATTTCAGATGTTTTAGATTTTATATAGAAAGATATCTCTCTAGTGAAAGGGAGGTACTGAAGTAGTGTATCTTTCAGCGTCTGGCTCGAATTGGGAGTGTGAGATCGCTCCCCTGCGGTTGGCCGAGGTTTTTTCGTTCTATCAAGTTCCACCAATAGACTGAGCAAGACAAACAAAATAAATGTATGGGACCATATAGTCTGGAAGTGCCAGCTGAAGTTATATACATATGTATATTCATAAATGCAGGTTTCAAGCCAGCCAGATCCAAAGCGGACGGAAGAAGGCGCCGACGCCGTCTCGTAGCGCAGAAGGGGAGCGGCGCTCAATCAGCATGGCCAATCCGAGATAGGGGTGGGCGAAGCCAAGAAGCTGCGGATGCAGCACGCCAGAGATTTCTACTTTCACCCAATAAGCGCAGAGAAGGACCATTAAAAGCCGTTGCAAGGCGTGGCAAGGCGAATGGGACATGAACTGTAACCTGGAAAAAAAACAGCTAACTATCATACCCTAACAAACCATACACTATATTAAAACTAGTCTTTAGTCTTTAGTCAACACATATGTAGCTATACCCCCAAACCATAATGGCCATAATTGGATAGCGAACCGACATTGTACATACATAAATCAGTCAAAAATTTCATAAAGCCCATAAACTTTATTATAAAGGTTATTATTATTAGGATTATATTTGGTTTTGTTATACCCGATACTCAAAATGAGTATTGTGGAGATTTGTGGTGAAAATAGATGTGTGTAACGTCCAGAAGGAATCGTTTCCGACCCCATAAAGTATATATATTCTTGATCACCATCAATAGCCGAGTCGATTGAGCCCTGTCTGTCTGTCCGTCTGTCCGTCCCTATTAGCGCCTAGTGCTCAAAGACTATAAGAGCTAGAGCAACGACATTTTATATCTAGACTTCTGTGATATGTCACTGTTACAAGCCCTCACAAAGGGCGAAAATCTGTGGCATCCACAATTTTAGAGATACGAGAAAACAGAAAATGTTGAATCGCAGAGGATGACTATATCTTCTAGAATGCAAAATCAGAACCAGATCGTATAATTATTATAGCCAGAATCAAGAAAACAGTTTCATTCTTTCTCGCTCTGTCTTTCTCTAACACACAGGTTTCATGGTCGGCTTTGCTTATTGCAAAATATGAGTTAAAGGATCTCAGACACTATAAAAGCTAGAGAAACCAAATTTGGTATACACACTCCTGTGATATCGGAACTTGACCGTTTTATGTCAAAATTTCGCCACACCGCCTTCCGCCCCTGCAAAGGACGAAAATCTGGGGCATCCACAATCTCAGAGACTATTTAGGCTAGAGCAACCAAATGTGGTATTCACACTCCTGTTCGAACTCACTGTTAAACGAATATCTCGCCCCACCCCCCTCCGCTCCCACAAAAGAGGAAAATCTGTGGCATCCACAATATTGAAGAAACGAGATCGGATCATTTTTGTAGGCAAAAGGAAGAAATTAATTTGCAGTGGCTACGCAGCGCCCGACGACACGCTCAGACTGATTTTCTGTCTCTCTCGCACGCACTCTTTGTCGTGTCGTTCAATAATAGCGGCGTCTGCCGGAGGAGAGCCATACTGACTAAGTATCGGGTATATAGGTATAGTTGCGGTCTCCGCAGCAACTCAAAACGTTGCCCCTCGTTTTGTAATTTAATTGATGTATTGATAATTTGTAAACATTGATGAGTGCGTTGAACGTTCCTTTCACGTGCCCACGCGAATTGTATTAGACGAAATATTATACCGTTAACCTGGACATTATTGATTTGACACTGATTTTACGCGGTGTTGGATCGGGTACGTCGGCAGGATCACTAGGGGAAATGCATGCCTTAACCAACACAGGAAAAGTGCGTCCAACGACACTAGAGGAAGCTATGGAGCTTTACCAGATTGGTCGGTTTTTAGAGATTGATATTTTGGCGCAAGGCTGTGAGGATTTAATACTCGATGTCCCTTGGTACTTTACCAACAATTTTAAAGTGGGGTTGCCAACCCCATGGCTCCGCGTGGGTGTTTGGACAAGCATGTCAGTACCTACGAGAAGAATTTACCGTTATTAGCACCTCACCTGTCCTGCACCAACTAGATAAAAAGCAACTGTTACATGTTCTGCAGAGTAATTTTTTACAAGCTTCTGAGCTAGAGATTCTGCAGGCTGTTCTTAAATGGGGAGAACAGGAGCTCATTCGCCGTATGGAAGATCGTGAACCAAACTTGTTGTCACACACAGCTCACTCAGTTGCTCGCAAGGGCGTAAAAAAAACGTGATTTGAGTGATGTAGAGCTGCGAGACATCATCGCAGAATTATTGCCTTTAGTGCGCATAGACCATGTTTTACCACCACATAGTGAGATACTCGGCCAAGCAATTCGTCGAGGTCTTGTCAGCACGCCACCTTCACATATGATTGGAGATGAACGAGAAAATTTACGTATCAATGCCTGGATACGTAGTGGTAGTAATCAGGGACTCTTTGTAAGACCACGTCTCTTTATGCCGTATTTTGAGGAAGTAAAGGCCTTGTTGAAGGATCGATTATCTTCATCTCACCACCAGGTGGAACTAATGCGTATGCGTAGGTCACGACACCCGCCAGATATTCCTGATACCTTGTATATGGTGTCCCACATGAATGCAGCGGCTAATAATGGACTTTGTAGTGTTGTTAATCGTGCTATTCATGAAAATATTGACATGATGGTAGGGTCGGCTGTTATACCAGCACCGGATAACCAAACTTTATTGGCAATGCGTAAACGCGAAAATAAACTTCGCCGGTCACCTATGTGCCAGCGTGCATTGCTACTGCCACTTTCATCAAAACATGAAATTGAACGACAAATTCGGCTTCGGGTCGTGAGAGAGTTTAACCTCCTTGATGAAGTATCTGATATTCTGGAAAGCTCACACCAATCCAGCCAGAAAAGTGATGATGTTCACAAAGAAAATCCGTGTGGAGTTGCGTCCACTACTCAAAGCGAGGACAATTTGCTTGAAGATGAAGATCAAAGCCCACCGCCATCACCAGCGGCTACTGGCTGAGTTCCGCGAAACACAACCGTTGGATCTTCTTTTTTATCGTCCTCGTCAATGGGATCGTCAGCATCATCAATCTGTGGCACCGATGGAGTACACCCCTATTATAGCCGAAATCTCACTTTTCCGCGTCCCCAATCAAATGGTCTTTTTGGTGTAGCCAGTATTTTAGCAACCAACTCTGGTCCTGCGCTTCAGTGTAGCTATGCACGTATTTCAGCGTCAGCGCGTCCACGAAATGAACTGCCGGCGTTAATAGCTGAAGGGGACTTTCGATTTCCGCATGGAAATAGCTTGGGCTTGGATATTAGTGTTGAGAACGGCGCATGTGCTTTGGACTCTGGAAATAGTCATCTTTCAGATATGATGCCGGATGTGGCTATGGCCACCGCATCGTTAGGTCAGCTTCATTTGTCGAATAGTACTGGAAATACTAGCGGCCATAGCGTCGGCAGCAATAACGACATGCCAGAAAGTTTATAATTAGATTTGGGGGATGGTCCAAGCCCTCGCGTAGTTGGAAACGTTCCAAGTGCACTGACCTTGCGAAGTATACACGTAAGTATTTCCTTTTCGGTATTTATCCTAAAATAAAAATTTTCCATTAATTTTAGCACGCTCTGCCACAAAGCAACTATCACCGCTTCGTGCAGCGCTCTGGTTCGCCATTTGATATGATGCGTCATGGACAGTTATCGCCCACATCACACCCTCCAAATCCTGGGTCATTTAACTCTGGACCACCCAGGTTTTTATAGAGGTTGCAAGTGGGCCCAGATCCGGGGCACTTTATTTTGGCATGCCTTTCTGAACAAAAATTAAACTAAAAATGTAATTTAACAATCTAGATAAATAAAATAAACTATTAAATAAAGCTTACGGAATTTTTCTCTTCGGCAAGGGCTTAAAATTAGATAGTATGTATAATGTTAAAAATACTTAAGTATGTATATTATCTCTGGTATTTGCGAAGAAAAAACCAGTTTAAGTAATTTGTTTATTACATCTGCAACCCTTTTGCACCTTTGTTACTCGTTGACCCTAGTAGTTGGCAGATTACAACACACAATAAATTGACCTTCCTTGCCAAATCCAACCCATCATAAACTTAAGTCGTCGAATGCTTTACCCGTTTAATCTGTCGAAATGTATAAATTAACTAGACTCAAGATACCTCTTGGTCATATGGTCATATATTTCAGATGTTTTAGATTTTATATAGAAAGATATCTCTCTAGTGAAAGGGAGGTACTGAAGTAGTGTATCTTTCAGCGTCTGGCTCGAATTGGGAGTGTGAGATCGCTCCCCTGCGGTTGGCCGAGGTTTTTTCGTTCTATCAAGTTCCACCAATAGACTGAGCAAGACAAACAAAATAAATGTATGGGACCATATAGTCTGGAAGTGCCAGCTGAAGTTATATACATATGTATATTCATAAATGCAGGTTTCAAGCCAGCCAGATCCAAAGCGGACGGAAGAAGGCGCCGACGCCGTCTCGTAGCGCAGAAGGGGAGCGGCGCTCAATCAGCATGGCCAATCCGAGATAGGGGTGGGCGAAGCCAAGAAGCTGCGGATG